TTTTTTTTTTTTTACTATGTATTATATTTAAAAAGTAACATTTGTTCACTATATTTAAGTACTTATCCAGTAAGTGCCTTTTCTTCCATAGGTCTATTTTTATTTCGTTTTCTACATCTTTCTCACAATCTTTCCTTGAATTTTTCAAACTCCTTTTCTTGCGTTCTCACGGAACGTACGCCTTTATTCTCTTCGCCTTTTTTGTGGTATTATTTTTATTGATCATCAACTTTGGGGACACGGAGTTGAATTAACGTGGATAATCGGTGCTAAGCCAGTCCCCTCTCGTGCACTTAATTGTTTGATCTACTTATTTATTACCTTTTCTATTCCTTTTATCTGGGTTGATTTTTTCCCCCATCCTAATTGTTTCTTTCTACCAGTCTTTCAATCTTTCTTACTGCCTTTCATTCTTTTCAAGACCAGGAACTAGAGATGAGCTGACCCTTAACACCCTCTGCAACATCCTCATCACATGGTACAAATCTTTTTTCTCGTTCTTTCCTGCGTTCATGCATTCATGCATCCATCCGGTCTTTCTTTCTATTTAAATAATTACTTTTACACTTCCAGAGGGCTGGTGCGCCCAGCTGGATACATGATAATCTATCACCCGTGGGTCCTCCCTCCCTGGCTCCTCCCTCCCGCCTTCCCTTACCTGCTTCAGCTCTCAGCTGTTCCCTGGGTGGGCGAGTGGGTGGGTGCCCATCTCACAAGTACAGACGCAAATTAATCAGTGTGCTTACTTCACGCTCCTTCTCATCCTATTACTAGAACGGCTCTCTCTTCTATGTGTTTATCTGTTTGTTAATATATTTACTAATTTGCTTCGTTTTTTTGGTAATTTTTACATTTCTTTCCAATTCTCGCTGTTTCTCTTTCACTCTTTCTTTCTTGCATTCTTTCATTTTTTTTGGAGCTCAGCTGTCACAAACTGAGGAACCCTAATACCCCCTGCAAATACCCATCCCTGGCTCCTGAAGCTCCATGTTATTCATTCAGTAATTCTTTCCCTCACTCACTCATTCATTCATACATTCTTCCTTCCTGGTTTCCTCCTTTCGATTAGGTAATTACTCCTCATTAGTAAAACCGAGCGCTCAGATTTTGATCAGTTACGACCCACAGTTCCCGACGGCCTCTTACAATCAGCGCTCACTTACCCCTCTCCTGCAGATCCACCCATTTATCCACTTAGTAGTCATTGTCGCTTTTTACCTTCCCTGTCCCTTTTGTTACAACTTTCCACACCCCCTTCTTCACTCTTCCTCACTTACCTTCCTTCATTCTCGGGGAGCGTCGACGCCCAGAGAGCATTGATTACAGCCCTCCCAAGCCCCGCCCCGGAGCGCCCGCAGGCCACGCCTCCTCCCCACCACCACGCCTCCCGAGAGTCTCGCGTGCCTGTTTATTTAGATACTTCTTATTTGGTTGATAGGCGGTTCTGGACTCCGACTCCCCGTAACCTCTGATCCCCGTCAGTCTTTTAGCGCTAGTGCTGGCCTCACCTTCTTGTCATTAACACACGCATTCGTGCGCTTCTGAACTTAACACCTGCTACTTTTTCTTCCACGGGTCTCGATTTTTATTTAGATGTTTCATCTTGTTCTCTCGTCCTTTGATCCTTTCATGTACCAGACCTCAGTTCCCAGGACTCAAAGCCCCTTGTGCCACGACCCCACCTGGGTCCAGGTACGCAGCTTTTTTTTTTTTTTTTCCGCTTTTGTTTACTTTGGCATGTATTTATTTATGTGTTCCCAGAGTTAGAAAATTTGGGGTTAAAGTTAACTCTCATTTTTAGTCCCCTGGGTCCACTTTCGTTTTTAACTATTCTTTGACCTCTTTCTCTGTCGTTCACTTTTCTTCTACACCAGGAGCAATATTTGTACTAATCCCAATGCTCGCCCCCAAAGCTCGCCCCCAGTGACCTGACGGAGTCCCCCTTATGTGTGAGCTCGTCTCCTAATTTTAAAAAGTTTTCTTTCTCCCTTTATTTATGTTTGTTCCTTGCCGTTTGCTTTCTCCCGCTCCATCACCTACCCCTCTCCTGCATCCTTTCACTGATAGGCCTCATCGTCGCATCCTTCCCATTGGTTTTTGTCAGTTACCTTCTCTCTATTTTTAGAACTTTGTTTTTGACGTACAAAAAGCTGTGCCTAATTAATGTACACATCTTCACGAGTTTGGAGAGAAGTACACACGTGAAACCGTCACCACGATCTGTGTCATAAACCTATCCATCACCACCAAAAGTTTCCTCCCACCCTCTTATCTGTTATGATCATCATTTAGGATAAGAATAATTAACATGAAGTCTACTCCCTTAGCAGATTTTTACAGGTACAATACAGTATTGTCACCATTGGTTAGTGTGTTTCCTCTTCTTATTCATTTTTTCTTTTATTTAGGTTTTATTCTTAAAACCTAAAACTTTAGGTGTTGTATATTCAAATTACACACATTCCTTGGTCCATGACGCCCTGATATTGGTTCGTGTGTGGCTCTATTTACGTATCGATTCAGTAATTGTCGACTTATACCTCGACCTCCTGCGCACTGGATCTCGTTCAGTGTACACGCTCATCCTGGCTCGCTCACTTCTCTACTCATGTATCTGTTTCTTTATCCCTTCATGCTTTCATTCCTTCACTCGTCCATTCACTTATTCGGACCATGTCATAGAGCGACGTGACCTCCCAGCAAAAGAGACCGAACAATCACAGTCTCTTAGAACTTCTTTCTTCCTCCCACCGAGTTACCTACCACAGTGAGCGCAACCCACAGCACCTAACACACGCACGTGCCAGGTGCAGGCACACGCGCAGCCAAGGTTGGTGAGGCCAGACGCTCACATCCTAGACAGCCCGGGGCAGACCTGCAATTAGGGCCAGATGCCCCGGGCCCCCCGGTGGGGCGGGCGCTCCCCACCCCCTCCAGGCCCCCGCAAATGGCATCCCCATGAGAAAGCTGCGGACAGACCCGGGACACAGAGAGACAACGCACGCTGTACACGGTCTCCCGGTGGGAAAAGACGGACTCGGAGTTCATTTTTAAATAGACAGCTTTGTCCGCAGCAATATAAAAATATTTTGGCCTTTCAAGGCAAATACAAAAGAAACTCCCCGTTACCATCGCTGAGTGTCTCAGTCCCGAACAATAGAGAACTTGAAGAGGCTTAGCCGGAAACTTTGAAGACAGAAAATCTGCCCATTCTGTTTTCCAGACATTTCAAGGGGGTGAGCGGAGGTCACTGGAGCTGGGAGCCCATTTGAGAGGCAGGTCCCTCGGCCCGAGCTTTTCCCTTGGCCCTTTGAAGGGCCCCCGGCTCACAAGGGCCCTTCCATCCCAGTCTGCCCTACGGCACAAGAGCCAAAGGGACACTCGATAATGAAAGGGCCATTCATGCCGGGGAGTGAAAGACAAGAAATTCTTTTGGGGTCTAGCGTTCGAAGCCGCCTATAGAATTCCTCACCACAGAGACAGCACAAGGCAGCCGGAGGCCCTGCCTCAGAACAGGGGCCCCCACGTCTGCACGTGCCTCCGCTTGCTGGCATCCTCCTCCCCGTGAGCGGACCCCCAGCCAGTGCTCCCAGTCCCTCCTTCGCTCAGCAGTGTGCAGAGTGGCAGCCCCCCGCCAGTGACAAAGCCACAGATGTGTGCCCCGCACTCCAGCAACTTACGGTTTCACAGGTGTGGGTGCTGGGGGTCCCACGTCGGCGGTCCTGTCCCACGCAGAATTCCGGACGATGGCTTCGGCTGGAACGAGAAAGCACTGGGTCACTGGAGGAGAACCTCACCCAACCGAAGCTGGGGCTCCCCAACTTCGAGCAAGTACGGAATTGGTGAAACCAAGCATCTCTCTTAAACACACTGGGTCACGCATTCACTGACCCGCCAAGCACCCCGGCCCAGCGTCAGCCACAGGTGGGAAGGGTGGGGCGGGGCAGGCACGGGACCTGGCTCCCGAGCCCAGAGCCCAGAGCCCGTGGGTGGCTGCTACCCGTGCAGCCACATGCTGCTGTGGGAAACCCAAAGGTACCATGTCGTGGTGGGAGCTGAGCTGGACGCCCAAAGTGTGGACAGGACATCGCCCAGAGGGCACTCCGCCTCGAAGGAGGGGCATGCACCAGTTGGGATGTGCCGGGGGAGGTCAAGGGCGCCGTGGGTGAGACAGAGAGGCGGGCTGTGGGCCACATGAAGTGTCGTCTTTAACGGGCAACGTTCCTAAGGCTTGGCACATACATCATGGGGTGAGAGGTGGCGGTGCCTGGACAGACATCTTCACTTTAATCACTAGGCACAAATTTGGATCAGCACCATGAAAAGCCGTGACCACATGTGTCAAGCCTTTGACTTTAAGCATTTGCCTTAAATTTTGAGTTTAAAAAAGGGAGTTGAGCGGTGGCAAATACACATCGTTACCGTCACCCCTCAGTGCCCATGGAGGACTGGGGCCAGGATCCCCTCAGATACCAAAACCCACGGATGCTCAAGCCCCAAGCCCCCCATCCAAAGTGGCACAGGGCTGGCATGTAACCTACGTGCGTCCTCCCGTATGCCAAAACCGACTCTGGACTCTCTGTCATACCTGGCACGGTGTAAACACTGTGGGAAAAGTTGTGATTCTGCATTGTTTAGGGAATAATGACAAAAAGTCTGTACGTGTTCAGGTCCCACCAAACCATCGGAGGCCTCACGACACAGGACACGTCAGCAACGATCGAACTTTTTTTTTCCCCCAAATATTTTCCAATCCACGTTTGTTTTCGTTGCATTCACAGGGATACATACAGAGGGCCAACCGTAAACTGGCTCGTCACCCAGAACAAACAGGCCACTGTAATTAATGCAAGATGCTAAGGTGAGGAAACGGGGCACGTGGGGATTCTCTGCACTTGCTACTCGCTTTTTCTGTAAAACTAAAACTGCTCGGAAAAAAGTCTATTCATTAAAAAAAAAAAAAAAAATTAAGGGAGCCGATCTTGAACGCCTGTTCCTCAGAATCTGGGGAAGGCGAGAAGGTGTGGCCGAGAGGTGGCCTGCAATGGCCGACGGAACAGGAAGGTGGCTCCGGGCAGAGCCATACACAGGCGGCCCCCAGCCCTCCAGGGAACCCCAAAAAAGAAGGTCTCCCCAACACCCCCTTTCTCTGACTTAAGCCATTTGGGGCGCCCCCTGCTGCCTGCACGTCTCCATTCCCAATCCCATCATTCGCTGGGGTGCCAAGACCTGGCCAGGACCCAGGGGAACGCACCTTTTCCTTCCAAATCATCCTAAAAATTCCTTCCCTGGCCTCAAGCTTCCCAAACACCGTTTTCCCCTAATTAGTTGATTTTATACCCAAAAAAACAAAGTCTTTTAAAAATAGGTGGTGATTAACTAGTTATCAGCTCGTGGGTGGCAATGGCAGACTGGTTACCTCAGGCTCTGGGACCTCCGTCATGTGCTGGACACCAGCCCAGATGTTCCCGGCCCTCCTTAGGAGCCTGTGAGCGCCTAGGATGGCCCCCTCACCATCACTCCAGTCCTAAGGTGACAGAGGAACCCGGAACCTGAACACACAGCAGGACCCCAGGCTCTGCCACTTCTCACAGGAGTAAGAACCAGGAGAGGGTTTGGGGGGGCCTGTTCTGCTTTGGTCTCTAGTATTCTAAGAGGCCTGGGGAAGCCAGAAGTGGCTCGGGGTACCTGGGGTTGTTCCCGCTTCTGCTCCAGGGGCCCCATGAACCCTCAGAGCTCCTGACCATCCCCAGCTGACTTCTGTACAGACCCCAGGCTGCTCCGTGAAGACGCAGCCTTGGTTTCAAGGCTGTGTGTTCCAGCCTTGGGTCTGCCACGCCGTGTTAATAACTGGAGTCTGTGCAGATGTCAGAGAAGCTGCAAAGATGAGTCACTTTCTGGAAGCAAAACGAAACCCGAGGCCCCCTCACAGGGTCCAGAGGAACCACCGCCACAAGCACTGGACTGGAGACCTCGTAACTGCCCACAGAGGACCCTCACAGGACACGTCGGGGGGCCTATGACAACACCCCCTGGCTTGGCGGGGTTAGAAAACTCTAGCTCTGCATCCTGAGATTTTTAAAGTCACACATCTCTGGAGGCAAACAGGACCTAACTAATCTGGCTCGTCTGGGACAAATAACTGTGGATGTCTGGAGCAGCAAGGACATAAAGAGATTATTTTTTAATAAAATGATCGTTTCCAGAAATAGAGACTATAGTTTATACACATAATCAGCCTCGCCTCCAATCTCATGCTTCCTACCTGTTAAGACCACCCTCCCCCGACGTTCCCCTTTGTAGAGCTAATTTCCTGTACCTTTGTCAAGGCTGGGGCCCTGGACGTCACCGGGGCCCATTTATGAAAATGCGAGAGGTAATTGGGGCATCTTTTGAAATCCTGTCTCCTCTCTTGCCGGCCCCCTCAGCCCTCTAATTCCAGTTGGCCGGTCTGTGAAGGATGTTTACATATGCCTCTTCCTGGAATTTTACTCTTTGCTTCAGGAGTGGGCAATTAGAGAGAATTAGGCCTATTTGGCGTCCGTGCACCGTTAATGGACAGAGGGGCGGAGGCGGCCTCGGCGAAGGCGGTCTGCTGGTCTAATTGAAGCTGGCAATTTCTCGGTCCCTCGTTTCAGCTCGCAGGTATTGTAGCGACCAAGGTCACGAAACAAAGGCTGCAGCCCGCGAGGATAATAACCGCGTGCGGGGCCGGCCCTGCGAGCTGGGTGCCACCCCGCGCTGCGGCACGGAGGGACAGCTGGGCAGGTGCGCAAAGCCGGGTCCGAGACGGGCCGGGCACCGATCGCCTTTCCAGAAGTTGCCACCCCCGTGGCTTTTTCAGGAAGTTCTCAGCCGAGGGGGCCAGGGTGCCGACAGGGGTGTTGGGGAAGGTCTCGAGACCCAAAGGCACAGGCTGGGCCACAGGGGAAGGTGCCGCAAGTCACACCTTCCCGGGACTGCAGCCACCGGGCCAGTGTCATTGCACGGTGACAGGGGCACAGCCCAGAGCGGAGTTCCAGGCCTGGCCGGCGGCCTGCCCGTTTGGAAGGACGCTCCACGAAATGCAGTCCTTGCACCAAGCAGCCCCTTGGAGCTAGTGTAGGACACGAGCGCTCACAGAAAGTCTGTCCGCCAAAAGCTGGCCCTGAGGGCTGCTAGTGACCACAACCCCACTGCCCGGCCGGTCAAGTGGGAGCTGGCCAACGGCAGCGGGCGCCACGTCCAGGGCCTGCCACCTTGGGCTCCGGTTTCCTTGTCTGTAGACAGGGTTGGAAGGCAGTGGACCAGTGATCTCAGCCCCCAACCCTAAAGACCCAACAACGAAGCGGGCCACAGATGACGTCATCGCCAAGACAGCCGGAAGGAGCCCAGAGCTCCAGGGCCCTCTGGTGACGGCGACTCTACGCTGCCCCATTTTACAGATGGGAAAACTGCGGCCCAGAGGGCTGGAGACAGAGGCCAACGTCACACCCATAGTTGGGGCTTCCCATGGGTTGAAACCAGGTCTCCTGAAGGCCTCTCGGGGCTACTGTCTGACCCTGTGTCCTGAGCATCCATCCTCTGGTCACCTGAGTAGTCCTGAGTAGCAGGGCATGTGCCTTGACCCCTGTGCCCAGCCAGGGGACCAGTGGGGGCCCGATCTGGACACCGGGGCCTCCCCCCACTTCCAGGGAAACAGGGCGCTTGCCTTTCCGACATTGACGTCCCGTGCTGCCTGCGCCTCCCAGAGGAGGCGGGACCGACAGGCCGCTGCCTCATTATAGGTGGGGAAACTGAGGCCCCAAAGCCGGTGGCATCAAAGACATCCACCAAGATCAAGACCTGGGGCTCCTTCCCCTCCCGGCCGAGCTTCGCCCCGGTTCCAGCAGGGGGACCCGAGCCCCCGCCCCGCCCCCCGGCCGTTTGGAGCAATAGTGACACAAATTGCACCCCTCCCACTCAAGGCCTCCTGCTCAGGCCAGGCCCCTGCCCTGCCAGCCGTGCTGACACCCCCCACAACCTCCCGGACCACCGCTGCAGTCCCAGGGACCCAAGGCCCCCAGCCCCGACCTCCTAGCCTGACAAATGATTCTCTCGAGCCCCAGGGTGGCCCCCAGAGGCACGGGAGCGGCAGAGCTGCCGTCGGACACCGGCACAGACGTGCGGTCAGCCTCCGGCCCCTCCAACTGTCCTCCTTCCCCAACTTCCCATCCTGGAGCTCGGTCCCTCGGCCCCATTCTGTCCCCCTTGGCTGCCTCTCGGGCCCCAGGCCTAGTTACATCAAATTCTTGTTTACAGGCGGAGACACTCCTAGTCTTCCTGAGAAACTCACAGAAAAGAAAGCCCCAGAACGAGGGGCATGAGTGTGGCCGGGGTCACGCGGCCGGTGCGGGGTGTGGGCGTGCGCTGCCCCAGTCCCTGCCCCCGCACACGCTGTCCTTAACTC